TTTATTTATTTATTTATTTTCAATCAGCATTTATTCTAACCAAATGAATGCTACCAAAAAATTACACACTTCTAAATATATCATGCTATGTTAAATTTTACACGGAAATGTGTCATTATTACAACTGTCGTCTGGCAATTGCAAACACATTGACCACTACATCACCGGAAATAGTGGCTGCGCGCGGGCCCACTCGTTTTTCCCGCCAATATCAGCTTACACCAAAAAATTCAATTTATCTTTGGTCATTTTTGCCTCGACTATAGTTTGTGTGGAATAAACGAAGATCTTGCACATATCCTAATAAAAAAATTACTCTTCCTTATTTTAATTATTTTTCATTCTGAGAAACAACACACTAATTAAGAATTTTTTTTTTCGTCAATATTAACCCTATTTAATGAATGTTATGAGAAACAATGGAGATAGGATATGAAGAGACGTTGTGTATTAGATGGAGAGTTAAAAATTGAAAAATATGAATAAAATAGCCAAAACAACATTTATTTTATCAATAATCAATTAAGTCAAGATGACAAATAATAAAAATTGAAGAGAGTAGTAAAAAATTTTCATATACAAATCACTATCTAGAATTTTCGGCTTGTTTTAAATTATACTACATGGTAACGACAAACTAAATACATGGTTATTAAATTCAATTTTTGTTGATTTGTTAGGATTATTTTGTGAAAAATATCAAACTTATCTCACAACTTTCTATATACAACTTTTCAAATGAGTATTGATTTTATTTTTTTCCTTCACAAACTTATCCACCTAGCGTCTCAAATAATGATATTGTTTCATTTGATTTATTAGCTACTTTTATCTCACTTTTATTACTATTTCAATCATGAGCAGTCCTTAATTTAAACTATTAATTATAGTTCAAAAGTAATTTATTTATCTTGTTCGCTATATACCAGTTTACCATTTGAATTTACTATATGTAACCCCGTGCGATGAACGGAAAAAATATATTAAATAAGTTATTTTCATAGAGTTTGTTCATAAGGGCATCTCCAATGGTAATAGCTATTACTAGCTATATGGTTAGCTGACGTGGATGTGAGAGATAAGAAAAATAACTATTTTATATTATTGGACCCACATACCTCTCTCACATAATCTTGGACTACGTGAAATAGATAAGCTATTTGTTAGTAGCTAGTGACTACTCTCTCTCTTACTTTTCCCCTGTCCACGTCATAATAGTTAGCCAAATAGCTAACCATTAGAGACGCCCTAAGTAGCTTGTGCAATGCACGAGACAAAGATATTAAATGAGTCATTTTCATAGACTTGTCCGTTAAGACTTGAAAAATAATAGTATTGAATCATCTATTTTTTACCTCTTTTCATTTTTTTTTTCGGGACGTTAAACTCGAGACTATTAGCGCTAACCCATGAATTAATTAATATATTATCCTGCTAACATATTTATGATAATATAAATTTGATTTTAGTATATATGTTTATTCCTTGATATGTGAAAAATAACAATTTTACTTATCATTGTTTATAATACTCAACTATTATTTTATCATAAAATTTGTTGTAATATATTGTTATTATTATTATTTATAAAAGTTATAGATGTATTCTTAATTTTCTTTTTATTTTATGTAATGAAAATATTCAATGTACGTTAATATTATTTATAGATGTACCTTCATTACATATTTAGATTAGTAATTAAATATTATATAAATTGCATAATTTTAAGTTCACTTATCAATTTTTGGATATAATCTTTATTAAACTTTTGCATAAGTAATTTATACAGATTCATTTTCTTAGTAAAATTAATCTTATTAAAGTAATTTTACTAAAGATGTTTATTTTTTTATTATAAGTATGTACAATATAAGTATAAAAAAATATTATTTCTGTTCACATAATTATGTCATAAAATAAAATTTATTGAACCTAGCAAATATAAAATTGAGTCTTAAATTAAAAGTAACCCAATTTAAACGTTATATAGAA